AATCCAATACACACAAAAATAGCATTTCCTTATGATATAGTGGTACCAGCATAATGTTGTATAATAAGCAGTCTTTGCCTTGTCAGTTTTCTCAACTCCTCAAAAGTTTAACTTAATTACCATTATGGCTGCAACTTTCAACCATAATAAATCCCGTGGAAAAACTTTTGAAACATGCTCTCTACCATTTTTGAAATGTTATAACACTGGTAAGACGATAATAAATTGCTTGAACCTTTGCAAACACGTTTTACCCAACGTAGCAACATACATTTTGCACATGCCAAATACCATTCATATTGCTTTGAATAGATTTTTGTTTTTATGTTTGGCTATGTGCTTTTGTAGGAGTTTGTGAACAAGGCTCTTGTGTCGTTTTGTAGATTTAAATTTCTATGAATTTTCTTGTTTTCAGTTTCATAGGAGATTCCTGCTTTAGAAAGTCGTAAGTTAATTTCATTCTATTTGCCTTTATTCCTTGTTATTGGATTAAGATCACACCTGTTCTTCCCATGTAGGTTGTTTATAATGCAAGAAGGTTGAGAGTTAGTGTTCTTCAATGGTAGTTCAGGTTAGTGGTTCTCAAAATTTGGACCATAGATATTTGGGGGAGGGCGTGAGAAACGTCAGAGAAAAGTTCCGTTTTTCGTTTTTTTAAAGCTAAGTTTATCATTGTCATCATTGGCTATTTATATATTGATGCGTCAGCGAGGTCACGTGACACTAGTTTTCTAGAAATATCCTATTCCTTCGTGAATATCCTAGCATTTACTAGATTGGGGGTAGCCTGGTATATATAAGATGGTCACAACGTGACGGCACAACAGTGTAATGAGTAATTGAATGTATGTGGACAACATATTGTTGGCCTCGTGAGACGTGAATTATAGTGTTGTTATAGAGCGACTGTTGAAATTAAGTGTATCGTAAAGTTCTATTCGGAAAGAATAAACCAGTTTTATTAAGTCAGAGAGTGGGATAAAAAAATGGAAACGAGAAGCGGCAAATGAAACTACAGCATAGCAGACTTGATGGCAGCAATACAAGATCAGCAAAAGAAACAAGAAGAACGAGAAAATAAACAAGAAGAGAGATTACAGCATTTGCAAGAAAACCTGCAACAGTGGCAGCTCGAACAGCAAAATAAACAAGAAGAGAGATTACAGCATTTGCAAGAAAACCTGCAACAGTGTCAGCTCGAACAGCAAAAATAAACAAGAGAAATTACAGCAGTTGTTGGAGGAAAAAGAAAAGAAACAAGAAGAGAAATTACAGCAGTTGTTGGAGGAAAAAGAAAAGAAACAAGAAGAGAGACAACAGCAGTGGCAACTGGAACAAGAAAAGAAACAAGAAGTACAAACGGAAAACATTAGTAAATTTAAAAGCGAATTAGATACGTTAAAGGACGATTTATTGTCTTTTACACAAAGAGGATACATTAACCATCGACTTAATCAGCCCCAGATAATGGCAATCCCCTTCCAGACCCCGCAGCTAAACCCTAATGCAGACATATTCAGTCCCGTTAGAAGCCACATCCCAGATATGAATGTCAGTACCAGGAGTGATCCAGTACGAAGGAAGCCACAGGAATACGATGGGAGAACACCGTGGGAAGCATATAGAGCACAATTTGAGCTACTGGCAGAGATGAACAGATGGACAGAGGAGCAGAAAGCAGTATATCTGGCAACTAGCTTGAAGGGACAACCACTGGAAATACTTGGACAGTTGTCAGCAGCCGACAGACACAACTATAGAGCACTGGTAGTGGCTCTAGAACTCAGGTACAGAACCCAAAGTCAGTCAGAACTCTACAGGGCTAGGTTCAGGACAAGAGTCCATGCTAAAGAGCTGGCAGAGGACTTGGAAAGCATGGCACACAAGGCCTACCCAACTGCACCACCCAATCTCCTCAAATTATTGCTGAGGAATCAGTTCATAGATGCCTTG